AGCTGCCCTGACTGATAACACCACACACAGGGGATGATAACCTGAGGAGAGAAAGTGTACTTGAAGCACTGCGTGGAGGACCGACTCTTGGGGTCCTTGTCTGAGGTCAGCTGCCAGCATTCCTCACCTTCCTGGAAGAGCTGGACTTAGGGTGTGCACTCCCCTCAACTCGGGCAACCTTACCCTAACCAGCTTCAGAACAGAGCCCGAACCAGGAGTGTCACATAAGACAATAAAGGGAATAGTAATAATCACCATGTCTAGCTAAGCTGAGAATATTCAGGGCCACGCTCAAGCCAGAGACAGGAGTGGGGAGAGGGATCCATGTGCATACATAAACACACACGTGTGCGCACGCACATCTATAACATAGCTGCAGAGCCCGCCAACACTGTGTCTGGTCTCAGGCTGCTGAGAAACACCTGGTGGCTACTCTAAGTGTGCCGATAGGGCAGTCAGCCCAGTTGTGAGCTGGCCTTGATTCTTAAACACGTGCCCGAGACACTGTGCCTCATGCTGAGGGGCATGCAACCTTGCAGTGCACGCAGCAGCCTGAGCGGGAACATTAGCAGCACTGAGGACACCCAGGATTCGCGTGCACACATGTCCCCCGCCCACGGTATGACTTTGATGGAAGAAGCATGGAAAAGCCCCACTGCCCTTCAGAGTCACCACGTGACTGAGCCAGCCACGACTCCGGAGGTCTCCCAGACCTTATTTTTAAGGGAGACAAGAGACCCAGAGAGGCAAAGAGACTCATGAAAGCGAGGGTCTTGGGTCCTAGGACCCCTGATTCTTGGCCCCCTGTCCTTTCCAACTCTCCCCACCCCCTCATCCTCTGCTTTTCCACCTTCTCTGAGAGCCTTGAGGCTTCCTCCCTCTGTTCCCCTGACAACAACAAAAGAGGCTTTTGCATTTTTTTCATCAACTCATTAATGATTTTCAGACCTTAAGTTATTCAGGCCAGCCCCTGAAGCCACAGTGGACTTGGAAACTTGGGACACACTGCTCAGCCAGCTCCAATTGTTCCTGGTGAAGCCCCTCTAGGTTAACAGCTGTTCCGAAGGGCTGGACAGGAGGTCACCAGGGCAATGTGTGACCTTTACGTAGGACTCCAAGCCAAGACTTCAAACTCCCCACCCCATCCTGCCCTTTCCAAAGGCACACCACCCCTTCCCCAGCAAATCCTATTGTTCCCCCATTCAAAAGTCTCTGGGTCTTTATTGTAAAGGTGCAACTTGGTAAACAGGAAAAGGTTTATCACAATCTTGCAAACACACACTTGTGATGGCCTGAGAATAAAGAACTCAGCTTTGGGCTTCTGGGTCAAGACGGTGGTCTGAGCACATGTGTATATCTTCTTTCCCCCTGGGGATCACTTTTAAAAACTGCTGCTGCCAAGGAGAAGCCACAGCCTAGACTAGGTGGTGTGGAGGGTACAGCCTTGGGAGGGGCTGCCCTGCCCAGCAGGCCCAGATCTCTGGACTCTGAGCTCACAGGAAAGACAATGGACAGAAGTGGGAAGTGCTACAGCTTTTCTGTATTTTAACAAAATGAGAAAAATAAAACTTACAGCTTTAGTTCATCTGAGTCCTATGGAAGGGACAAGCTGCTGAATTAGGTGGCTAAAACATTTTGATACCAAATTACAATGTGTGTTCCTTTTTGGTATTTATTATTTTCTACTTCTTTGTAAACCACAAGATTTAACTATAACCATTAGGAGAAGATAAGAACAACAGATGGCAGTGGGTGTTTCAGAGAATGGAAGACTCTATTAACAGCAAACTTAATGTAACAGATCTTTATTAGACCCTCATTTGGAATTAAGAAATAAAAATATTAGCCTACCACATTTTTAGAATTAAAATTTAGCCTGCCATCACTTGGCCTGGGAAGTGGCCTCTCTTAGGTCTAAACTACAGACACCTTGAAAGGCTGGAAGTCAGAAGACCAAAGGGCTAGTTCTGGTTCTATGTGACCTTGGTCAAGTTATTACACTTCTATGTGACTCAGTTTCCTCAAAAAAGGAAATGACTGGTATTGACCTTCCCCTAGGACTAGTGGGTAGAACTAGAACATGAAAGAGTACAGAACATCAGAAAGTGATATGACCTGGTATTGTTGAGACAGGTAAAGGGTGAGAGAGCAGGAAGAGAAGAGAAAGCCAGTTGTGAAAACGGTAGAGCCAAACATGGGCTAAGTTACAAAAAAAAAAAAGTGAGCTTCCCAATGACAGCCTGTGTCCCGGAAAAGAAGATCCAGTAAGAATCAGGGGCCTTAGCAAGGGAGCCAAGGCAATTCCAAGGGGATTCCATAGTCTCTTCAACAACTGGAGTTGGAACAACTGGATATCCACATGCAAAAGAATGAAATTAGACCCCTACCTCACACCATATACAAAAGTTAACTCAAAATGAATCAAAGGCCATTGTGAGGGCTAAAACTATAAAAACTCTTAGAAGAAAACATAGGCACAAATCTTCCTGACCCTGGATTAGGCAATGGTTTCTAAGATATGACACCAAAAACACAAGCAACAAGGGAAAAAAATGAGTATCTTGGATATCAACAAAATTAAAAATGTTTGTGTTTCAAAGGACATCATCAGAAAGTAAAGACAACCCACAGGATGGGAAAAAATCTTTACAAATCATATATCTGATAAAGGACTTGCATCTAGAACATACAAAAAACCCATACAACTCAATAATAAAAAGACAACCCAGTTAAATATGGGCAAAGGATATGAATAGACATTCTCCAAAGAAGGTATACAAATGGGCAACAAGCACATGAAAAGATGCTCAACAGCATTAGCCATCAGAGAAATGCAAATCAAAACCACAACGCGCTACCACTTCACACCCACGAGGATGCTATAACCAAAAAAACATAATAGTAAGTGTTAGTGAGGATGCAGAGAAAGTGGAATCCTCATACAGTGCTGATGGGAATGTAAAACGGTACAGCTGCTTTAGAAAACAGTCTGGCAGTTCCTCAAAGAGTTAAACACAGAGTTACCATGTGACCCAGGAATTCCACTCCTACGTATATTCCCAAAAGAAATGAAAACATATGTTTATACAAAAACTTGTACAAATACGTTCATAGCAGCATTACTCATAATAGCCAAAAAGTAGGAACAACTCAATTGTCCATCAGGTGATGAATGGATAAACAAATTGTGGTCTATCCACAGAATGAAATACTATTCAGCTATAAAAAGGACTGAAGTACTGATATATGTTCAACATGGAGACCCGAGAAAACATTATGTTAAGTGGAAGAAGCTAGTCACGCAAGACCACATATTATGACTCCATATACACAAAATGTCCAGAACAGGTAAATCCATATAGAAAGTAGCTTCATGGTTGCCTGGGACTAGGGGAGCTGGGGGGAAAGTGGGAGAGTGATTGCTCAAACACGGTTTCTTTCAGGAGGCGATGAAAGTATTCTAACACTAATTATGTCATTCTGTGAATTTTACTAAAAACCATAGACTTGTACACTATAAATGGGTAAACTGGGTATGATATGTGAATTATATCTCAATGTAGCTGTTCCATGATCCTCCCTCCCCCCACAAAAAGGAAAAGGAATCAGGAGCCCATCCTTACTCTGTAGGAACACAACACCTGTGGTCCCAAACTAATTATTAATAGAGACTCATTCACTCTCCGAAGTGTCCTGGTTTGTATGATAAATTCACGTCATCACCCCATCACTATGTGTTATCAGGCAGGTGGCTTTGCCCTGCTGGGTTTCAGTTTCTCCATCTGTAAAACAAGGTCTACCCAGTTCTGATAATCCCTGATCCTAGAACTATATTCCCCAAAAGCTCCACTTTAGAAGCTGTAAAATCCTGCTCAGTTGGTCACAGGGTTCACCACGCTTAGGAAGACGAACCTAAATTAGCAAAGAGTGGAAGCCCTGGGCCAGTACAGATCACCAGGTCCTGGGAAACAAGTGACCCCAAGACTAATTCCTGAGCCTGCCAGTTACTGATACTCAAATTTCCCCACAGTTAGGCCACTGAGGAAGGTGATCCAACCACTCCAATGCAAGCAAAATGCCCTAAACACACCCCTACAAATGAAGAAAGATAGACATTTAAATGGGGGCCCTCACAGAAAATACGAGGTCCCTAGGAAACTTGGTAAGTTTGGCAGTGGTTAACCAAGGTCTTCTCTAAATGGGATTTGATAAGTCCATCCAAGAGGGCCTGGTCATCTGATTATCAAATGGAATGCTCATTTCCCAGTCCTCCTTACCCATGATTGCTTAGGAAACAAAATTATATCAAAGCAGCTCAAGAGGAATCATTCTGTTCTCATCCCTTTTATACTCATGAGTATGTGCCTGAGCAGTCTTTCCATCCTCCCCCTCTCTCTCCCAAGGGCTTTAGAACTAGGTCTGTGTGGCAGGTCCCAGACGTGTATTGTGGTGTCTACCACACCAATGCAGAGACATGAGCCCATCTCTGGGCTCTGCAGTAGCAGACCCTTAGAAACAAGGTAAAGGTGAAAGAAGCAGGAGGCAGAGCATAAACCCCACTCCCATCAATCCATCCAAGAACAGGAAAGACGGATGTTCACCAGGGTCACTGAGAAGGGAAACTAACATGAAGATAGGAGAGTGGTGGCAAACTGCCCCCACCTAGTCAGCAGTCCTGGTCACAGAGCCAGTTACCAGAGAAGAAGGTGAAGGTTTGGGGGTGAGGCAGAGCTTTCTCTGGAGCAAGAGAGTGCTCAGAAGGAACCAATACAGTTGGCACCAAGATATCCAGCAAACTAGCCTCCAACTAAGAGAGCAAGGGATTTCAGAGATGTCCCCACTGTTTGCCTCTTGAAAAGGGCAGGGCTGGAAGAAAGAACAAGGGACCAGTCAAAAGCTGGAGGCCAAGAGGAAGGGAGAGAGGAGCCATTGGCTTTCTGCATGCCCGAGACTTTGCATCCACGGGTTTCTGCTGGTTGTTGGTCTGTGGCTTTCATAGACCAGGCAAGCTCCTTCCTAGCCACAGCTTCCCAGGTAAGGCCGCAGCTTACAGTGGTGCAATTTCTACATCCAAGGGGTCCATGGGGCTGGGAGTTGGAGGCAGCCGCACACTCTACTCCTGCTCAGAGGCCACATTTCAGGATGATGTGGTAGCCGTCATTGCTCTCGGCTGCAAAAGAGAAACACTGGGCATTTTACAGAAAGAAGGCACCATGCCGTGGCATTTGGCAGTCACAGAAGGCGTGGTATTAGGGTACCAGCAGAAGACCTACCACGAACATTGGCAGGGACCACCAAAATAACGCTGCGCAGAGCAAAGTGTGCTGACAAAAGCAGAGATTTCAACACACGCCTTCGCATCTGCCTTGTTGAGTTTCTTTATGACAAGGGATCTTTCCACCACAGCCCTTGGCCCAAGGACTAAAGATTTGGCCCAAGGAGGCTTTGGACAAACTGTGGTTCTCGGGGTATTATGGCTCCCAGGCCTCTGAAGGCACTCGGCTGGACCCAGAGAACAGGGGGAGGGGAGAGGCCTCATCACGGTCTCGGGTCTTCGGAGGGCTTTCATTCTGACATACTGCACACACTCACCTTCCCAGCCCTAAGGAGGGTCACAACTGGTCTCTCCCTTCTGGAACACTAGTTCTTCCTCAGACACCTTCCTCAGGCGGGCCCTCCATGTCCCACCCCCACCCCAGTCCCCAATCCCCCCAGCCTGCAGATGCAGCAGCTGTATCCCTCCACGCTTCCTCTTCCTGGAGACCCTCATTCTAGAAAAGCTCAAAGGCATCTCACTTCTTGGCCCTGGGTTCATGGAGAACACACTGCCTGCTGGAACTTCCCTTTTGGAAGTGACTTTGGGGCCAATCGCACCGGTTCTCCCATTTCCAGGGCTAGCTTTCACAGGAAGTCTGTGTTTCTTTTTCCCGGAGGATATTGCCAGGTAACGTTCTCAAGGGGGCCACTCTGCAGGCCCCACTCATCGGGCCAGCTCTTCCCTCACCCCATTACCCCAGGGGGCACAGACTTCAATCAGATAAGAAAAGGGGGGGCTTTACCTTTTAAGGTACTGAGGACAAAACAGGATTCATCTTGGAAATTCTGCACCATCTGAAAGGCAAAGGAGACCATGTCCCTTCAACAACAAGCTCAAAATACAAAAAGCTCCAGTGACCCTGAGCCCAGTCAGAAATGACAGTCACCATGTTTACACAAACACAGGAAAACAGTTATGCTTAACTTTGACAAAATGTGATCCAAATAAATGTACGAAATGATTACAATTTTAAGTAACAAAAAACTGAACACAAAGGATGGAAAGAAGCCTGGAAGGGAACCAAGAGGCATTTAATACAGGACTAAATTTTTTGTTTGTTTACTTTTTTTACGCTTTTTCCTAGTTACCGGGTCCTCCAATCCCCATAATGGACACATTATAGGAGGGTGTATGTGTATAACAGCAACTGATAAAAACCTAAAGTGCTTTAAAAACACTCTCGGTGATTAGCAGGCCCTGCATATCAGAGCCGTAGGAGGACCAAATATAAACAGACCCCACTCTCTGTGTCTACAAATGTGGCAGGAGTTGAACCATTACTCACCAGCCACCTCTGTGGAGCTCTTGTTTTGATTAACTACAGTGACCTTGGACAAGTCGAGCTGTTTTCTTCCTGTCTCCATGCCCTATCTATAAAATGGGGCTGTTTCAAGGATAAAAAAATATATAACGAGGATGCAGAGCTATGAGAAGTGGCATTCACCACTGGTGGGGTGTTCATCTGTCTAACTGCTCTACAGAACTGTCCGCGGGACCAGAAAAGATGACGCTGCCCATTTCTGCTACAGGCAGACGCCCTAGATAAACTCCTGCATGTGCACGTGCAAAACACACCTAAGAATGTTTACAGCGCACTGTCTGTAAGAGTGAAAATGAGAAGCAGCCCCCATGTCAATCAACAGCGGAAGAAGCAGGAACACACCGCGACCCAGTCACACTGTGCTCCTCAGCGGCACACCTCAACAGGCGCGGATCTCCAAATATAATGCGGAACGAACAAAGAAAGTCACAGAAGAACGCACTATTATTCCACTTACGTGAAGTTTTAAAATAGGCAAAAATAAACAATAGATTGAGGAGGAACAAGGGAACGATTAATATGAAATTCAGACCAGCAGGCAGAGGGGTGGAGTGGAATATGAAATTAGCCAAAAAGGGGCTTTGAACATGACACTGTGTTAGCCTGAGTGCAGGTCCTGGGTATTTTAACTATTCTTTAAACTGTACAGATAAGTTTTATATATCCCTTGCATATGTATGCTGTATTTCACAATATAAATTTAAAGAATATTAAAAACATACACATATACATAAACATACACACCGCACACACACACTAGCCAACACAACAGCAAAAGCCCTACCAATGTAAAAAATGCAACCCACATTTCATTGCCTGCTCTGGATTATTGCCCCAAATCCTGCAAATCCGTCCACCTGCCGACCCCTGCCCCTCCCCGCAGGGCCTAATGATGCATGAAGTACATTTGTTCTATACTGCCGGCCTGCTCCCTCTAGGACTCTTGGCAGCCAGGCCACTTGGGCATGCAAAGCCCTAAACACAGCCCACCCGGGCTTAATCAGTAACTCCCTTGTTTAATTAAGTGCCCTTGCACCCCAGGGGCCGGCTCTGTGGCTGGCCAGGTTGCCTCCAGCGCTCCAGGCAATTAAGAACCAAAGGTTTCCAATTGATTCAGGGTTAAGAGGCAAGGAGACTTCGGGAATAAGAATCGCCTACTTAGCTCAGGTGGCATTTGAGTTCTGTTCTCTGCTTCACTTGCTTAACTGCCTACTCTTGAGGCACAGGGCAAGCTGGGGAAGGAACTTCCTCCAGGAACACACAAAATTGCAAGTGTTCCGCACATTCTTGGCTTTTCTCTTCACAAAAGAAATTCACTCTGAAATGCAAAGTGACCAGTTTTCCAAGCCACAACAACTGCCCACTGCTCAGAGCATTTTAACCTTCCTGGCTGTTCTAAAGTAAGTTCCCAGGTCAGGAACTCTGTGCTTGGTTTTCTTTATCTGTGAAATGGGGGTAAAAAATAGCTGCATTAGATTTGATGGAATGGAATGATATGGAAGTTCTTAACTGGTGACAAAAATAGCAAGTTGCAGATAAACGTCCCACTGGATCTTTGTTGTGTGTTTTAAAAACCCACACCTACACACACTCAGGCACACAACAGCCACGCGCACAAAAAATTATCTGGTCAGAATTACATCAAACCTAATACAAACTTCTCTAGGAAAAGAGAGCGGGGAAGATGAGGGCCTTTCACATGGCCTTCTGCTGTTCTACACTGCTGGACTTCTCAGACTAACTGTGAACTACTTTTTAATTAAAAAGAAAGGAAAACACCACCTTGCCAACCTCCAGGATGAAACATCCATGAAACGGAGACTCTCATTTAAGGGGTTCTGGCAATTGTAATGACAAGTGGCAACAAGATTATTACTAATAGTGACAATTTATGAAATATACAGACCATTAAAAGCCTTACATTTCATACATTGTCAAATTTACAGATCTCTCCACTTCTTGCTCCCAAAATAACAAGTGCCCAGCACTGTCAATTACAACAACGCCGCTTCTTTAGTGTCTCCTGGTACCTGACACTGTTTTCTCATTTCCAGTGGGTATAATTATCCCCATTTTGCAGATGTGGAAACTGAGGCTCAAAGAGGTTTAGTAAATTTGCCCAAGGCCGCTCAGCTCCTAGAAGCCAGTTCCAGGTGGGGAGAGCAATGCAATTCCAAAGCCCACATCTTCTCTACTTTCCCAGCCACCATTCCCACACTGTCTCCTCTATAATCCTCTACACAGAAGGTTTCAGAGTTCCCACAGCCGGCTTAGGGTCTGCTGGTGGCTGAGCCCAGGGCTCAGGGTCCCACCCCTGCTCCCATTGGCCCCGCTCTTTTTTTTTTTTTTTTCCCCCCCAAAGCCCCAGCAGATAGTTGCATGTCATAGCTGCACATCCTTCTAGTTGCTGTATGTGGGACTCGGCCTCAGGATGGACGGAGAAGCGGTGCCTCGATGCGCACCCGGGATCCGAACCCAGGCCGCCAGCATTGCAGCGCGCGCACTTAACCACCAAGCCACAGGGCCGGCCCTACCCCGCTCTTTTTTTAAAGGCTTCATTTCAGGAGGGGTTGTATGGCCTGCTGGCTCAGAGCCTGGTCTCTGCAGCTGGACTCCCTGGGTTCCCACCACAGCCCCACCCCTTACCAGCTGTGTGACCTGGGGCACTTACTGAGCCTCTCTGTGCCTCAGTTTCCTACCTGTGAAGTGGGATAATAGCACCCACCTCATGGGGAGGCTGTCAGGAGTCACTAGGTGTGCATTTAGAACAGTAGCCAGGACACAGTAAGCACCAGATAAATGCTGGCCCTCCCTACTATTATTATTAAGAGGAGGGGTCCAGGATAGAACAAGCTTAAAAGCCTGCTCTACAACGTGCAGGAATATCCACATGTGTCGGCAAACCTGTTTAATCACCCCCTCCTTAGCCATGTGTGGGATTAGGTCACTCGACGGCTCAGTTCTAATAGGGCCCTGGGCAATACCTGTGCCCTCTGCCAGCAGCTGCGTGCGCCCTGCACAAGTCTGTGTGACCAAAGACAAACCCAGGAGGGTTGTGGCACCTTCACCACTTAGCAGAGGAGGCCTCTGTTCTCTCCCAAGAGCCACATCCTCTCCATCGCCCAACCCCCAGTCCACCTCCTCTCTCTGGGGCCTGCTGCCTGCCCTGGGTGAGCACCCCTCTCCTGACTTCTCCCGGCGCTCACTGTAAGCACCCTGCAGGCAGGGGTGCAGTCTGTCCTCCTGGTTCCTACATGGCACCTGGCCGAGGGTGGGGTACAGAGTGGATACTCAACAGCTCTTCAGAGCCCCGTCCTGGCCTCAGAACTCTCTCCCTCATGGCACTCCAGATGAAACCTGTTTGCCACCTTTGAGTAAAGTCATCCCCAAACCCCGCAGGGGGCATTCCCAAAGCAGGCTCTCCTGCTCCTCCCTGTAGCCCAAGGCCCCAGCTCATCAGGCTCGAGTCGCACTCACCTCGTTGCTCACCACCACGTGGATGCCCGTGGGGCCCTGCCGGTAGACTCGGTGGATGTGCTGGGGGGAGATGCTGTACAGGTTGGCGATCTTCTCAATCAACTCCAAGGTGGTCAGCTCTTCCAAGAAGATGGCGTGGTACACTGGAGGACGGAGGAACAGGTCCTTCCATGGAACAAGCACCTGCCTGCCCCCACCTCCACTCCAAGAAATCAACAACTCATTTGTAGAGACACCCATGCCCAGGTTGATTCCGCAGGATCTGGCTGCAATGGGCACAGGCCTAGAAGCCACACGGCTGAGAACGCAGGTGCCAGGCCTCTGTGCAGCCCATCGACAAGTGAAAAGATGCCAGCCTGTGGCTCTTTATGCCCGTTTCAGTCTCTCTCGGGTCACTTACACAAAATGTAGAATTCCTGGAACCACCCTAGACCCAATGACACCCATTTAGGGGTGCAGCCTGGAGGCTGGAGGGACAATGGCTGACAGAAGCTAACAGTGATTCTGATGTGTGGCCAGACGTGCATCCCACTGGGAGGGAGGAGGAAATCCCGTGTCCCCTTTCCTTTCTCTCCATGGCTTAAAGGGCTTACTGGAGGGCTTCAGGGGCAGAGTGAAATTTAAAGATAATTGCTACTTGACAGCAGAAGAGAGAGGGTCCCATCCCTGCCCTTCCCACAACACAAATGACCCTCAGCTCTAGCACCATGACTCCAAAGGGAGAAGGGAGTGCGCTAGGAATGTCATCAGCCCGTCAGAAGATAATGTGACCCCGAGGCTGAAAATGCTTCCTTATACAAAACCCAAAAGTCCATGGGCGTCCCGGGGGGGATGACTCAGTGTTCGGGGTCCTCAGGTTCCTCAAAAGTAAAACACACAAGATTAAACTAGAGGTTCCCAAACTCCTCCCTCAACTAAGGGGACCCTGGTTCAAAAAAACTCTGAGCAGAGGCCCAGTACTTTAAAAGTATGCAGGCGTGCACAACACACACACACACACACACACACACACGGTGGCTCCCTTCAAAAGGGGTGGCAGAGGCCACAGGGTTCCAGCCACACAACAGAGGCGCCTTCCCAGCATTTCTAACAGGCCGACCCACATTCGATTTTGTTCAGAGAACATGCTCACTGCATAATGTTCCTTCATCACTGACAGCAGGTAAGAACCCCAGGCCTCTCTTCGAAGATTCCTTTTTTAGAAGAGAATTCTAATTGTGCTTAATTTTTACAACTTTTCAGAGCCTGTTCCACTTTTCTGATTTTACTCCTCAAGTAAATCAGACTGAAGGCAAAATAGAACTAGAACGATTCCAGGCAGCACGTTTTGCTGTGAGCTTTCATCACGGGCCTTTCCTGCACCCAGCTGCACGTGCCACTAGGAGTGCGCGGAGCGAGCAGAAGGGTGATCGGCCACTCCTCTGAGCTCCTCTCCAGCCCCAGCTCATCAGCCGCTGGGGGCAGTCTGGGGAAACAAGAGGTTCTCAATGGGGCAATCTTGGGTTCAAATCCCCACTCTGCCACTCCCTGGAAGCAAGACCTTGGCCAGTCTCTACACTTCCCGGGGCCTCAGGCATGCGTGGGACAGCACTGCACCACAGGGCCACCAGGAGGTTACATCATGTGCTCTGTGCACAGTGGTTGCCCTTTCCCGGGTGCGGGAAACCCGGGCTCTGTCCTCCACAGGCTAACAGCTGAGAAGCAGGCAGAGGACCTGGGCATTCACCAGAAATGTACAGAGGCCAGACTGAGGGCTCTGAAGCCAGCTGCCAGGGTCCCACTGTTTGGATCCTGGCTCTGCCACTTACTATGCTGTCATCTTGGGCTAGTCAACTGCTCCATGCCTTAGTTTCCGCCACAGCAAAATGTTAGCAACAGTTTCTACTATGAGAAACAAACAAGCGAACACATGGAAAGCCCTAAGGACAGGACTTGTTGAGCACTTATTGTTCAGGAGGGACCTGCAGAGAGGCGGACAGGGCACTCTCCCACGCTCTCTGTAGACGATACAGAGCACTGACTACGCAGGTGTCCAGATGGACAGCTTGTCAGACTCTCAGCCCTCACGATGCTCAGAAACAAGGAGCTTTATATGCACCATCTCATTGACACCTCACCCCTCGGGGAGGTGGGTGTTGCTCTCTTTATTTTACACATGGAAGCTGACGCACAGGCCCTGGTACCCTGCCCAAAGCCACACGGCCAACAGGTGACATGGTCTGCAGGGACTGGTATTCAGCTGACCTCAAAGCTTGTGTCCTCTCACCCACCAAACTGCCTCAAAACTGCCAACCCAACAAAGTCACACACTCCTGAGGAAGACCCTTTAACTCCTTAGTGCTCGTGCAGCAAACAACCCAAATGGGACTCATCTGGCCTTGGGAAATCACAAGAGGAAGTGTTCCCGGGAATACAGGCATCGAGCATCACTTGTCACCAGCCTGGGAGCGAGAAGGCCCAACTCCCGATTCTACCAGGGGTAACTAAGTGGCACTGGAGGGACACATCATCTCTCCAGGCCTGTTTCCCCAAGTAGAAAATAAGGACGCTGGACCAGATATTCTGGCAGATGCCTTCCACCTTGAACACGCCAATCTCAGGATGAGGTTTAACAAAAACTTACCATGCGTGAAACCAAAGTGAGGGGGATCAGGGGAAACGTTTTCAGCGAGAGGACTTGGGTTGTCTCCTCCCTCCTTTTGCCACCCTGTAACCGGCCATGGTGGGGAGGGTCTCCTCACAACTCACCACACAGACTGGGGTCCCCGCTGCCATCCCGCTTCTGCTGTAGGGGTGCTCGGTTCTGCTCCAGCTCCTGACAGACATAAATGGTCATCTTGGGCCTCACATTCCTGGCAGGAGGAAAGGAAATAAATAGCAGGTATGGGGCACAAAGCTCTGTTGTTCCAGAATGTTCCAGAACACAGGGTGGAAATAACAGTGGGAAGGACTGGGGAGAGAGAAAGAAGGCTGCCAGGATTCGGAATGCCTTTCACTCAGGGGTGTGGGGGACAGAATCCCATCCAGGCACACTTGTAACGGCTTCACGCAGGCTTGCCTTGAGGCAGAGGGATGGACGACCTCTCCGGGTCCTGCAACCTGCCAAGAGGGGGCTCTGCCCAGAACACAAATCTCAAGATAGGAGGTGTTTGAGAGGGATAATAACAACTTTCTCTGGCTTACTCTGCACCAGGCACTATCTCAGAACTTTACGTGCATAACTCATTTCATCCTTACACAACCTACGAGAGAGCCAGGACCATCCTCCTCATTTTACAGATGAGGAAACTGAGGCTCAGAGGGGTTATGGGCTTGACCCCAGCTGCAAAGCTCATGAGAGGCAGACCTGGGATTCAAACCTAGGCTCTCTCTCTCACTCTAAAACTGTGCTGTATACGTGCAGCTACTAAAATTTAAATTATTAAAGTTAAACAAAATTTAAAACTCAGTCTGTCAGTAGCATTAGCGTCCAATCAAGTGCTCCAGGCCACATGTGTCCAGGGTTGCTGTACTGAACAGCGCACTACAGAACTTCCACCATGGCAGGAAGTCCATCAGACACAGCACTGCTCTACAGTCTGCCCTGAACACCGCTGCATGAGGCTGAGCAACCTACACCAGTCCTTGCCTTCCCTCCGGGAGAAGGTAGCTTGAAGCCCAGGACAATGCAAGCATCTGAGAACCTGGGGACGTGGCCAAGGGGCTGAGATCCAAAGGCTAAGGCTCCCGTCAACTGAGAAGAGGGAGGGGCTCCAGGCAGGGTCTGCTGCAGCCAGCTGCATCTCATCACAGCGTCTCACTCACCTGCTCTGGCCTCGTGCATCTCTCATGGTGCCTCCTCCCACACTTACCCCCAGAGTAGCCCCATCCCCACCTGCCACACCCTGCCTCCAGCTGGAAACTGACACCCACCTGCCTTTGATGGCATTAAAGAGCCGGATCCCATCTGCAGGGCCACAGATCTGAACCAAATCATCTCGAGACATCTTCAACAAGTCAGCACCTAGGCAGGTAAATGGGGGCACCCATTATGTGGGACACAAAGAAAAGGCTCCACCCCCAAGCACCTGCAGACCCTGCACTGGGGTCATGGGACAGGGGACAGGGAAGAGCCAGCCTCACCCACAGTGGGCACCAGACAACATCAGATCACAGCCCAAGAGATGTCAGAAGTTAAACGACCGGTGTTCACAAGACTCAGTAGAACAGACAGGCATTGACGGAAGCCAATAGGTCCTCCCTGCCTGTGCCTGCCTGCGCTCCCTCTGTGCTTTTACTGGCAGATACGCATACAGCTTATCGGCATGGAGCATTGATTACATGTGCACCTGTCTGTATAGAAGTACACGGCTCACTGGACGCTGCCATTCTGACTGCACCCGTGCACCCAGCACACAGACCAAGAGGCAGAACATTGCCACCATCCCACAGCACCCTTGTACCAGCCACTCCCCCACCTCTGGGGAACCATTGTCCTGACTTCTTACCATACAGACGAGCTCTGCTTGTTTTTTGAAATTTATGTAAATGGACTTGAACAGTATGCACTCTTCTATGTCTGGCTCCCTCTGTCCAAGTTCTGGTTAAGGGCTCATTCATGTTGTACGTAGTTACAAATCATTCATGCCCATTATTAGATAGTATTCGTTTCATGAATACACCACAATCACGTATCCACTCTCTGCTGAAGGGCATTGAAGGTGCTTCCAGTTTGGGGCTACTAAGAATTAAGCTCTACGAACATTCTCATATGTGGATGCAGTCCCTTCCTCAAAGCCCAAGGAGTCCCCTAAAGCCTTGTGCCCATGTGGACTCTCCAAGATAGAGTACAGTATCAGCCTTCTGCTGAAAACCTGTGGACAGTCACGTGGCCTAGAGCCACAAGGTACATCCCTTTTTCCTGCCACAGTGAATAGTTTAGGTACAATTCTGTAGGCACAATGGCTCTCTTTCCACTGGGAGTAAAAGCCGAAGTCCTCCCACGGTCCTACCAGGGGCCTCGGTGCCTCTTGGACCTCACCTCCTCCCCTGGTCCACTTGGCCCCAGTCGCCTGCATCCTCTGCTCTGTGGCCACACCAGGGAGGTGCCCACCTTGCAGCCTCTACACTTACACTCTGCTTGGAAAGCTCACCCCCCCCCCAGTCCCCACATGGCTCGCTCCACTGCCCTGTTCCAGCTCTGCTCAAGGACACCTTCTCAGTAAGGCCTACGCTGACCACCCTACTCAAGACCACAACCAGCCCTCCTCCTTCCTCCTCCAGCCAGACCAGGTCAGGTCCCTCCTCTGAGCCCACCCATCAGACAGGTCACACTGTATTGAAATGGGTAGTTTCCACATCTGCACTGACTCAAAGCTGCAAGCTCCCTGTGGACAGGGTCTCCGTCTCACCCTCCTCACACTGGATGCTGCTTTCTTCCCACTGCCAAAGATGTCCCTGAGAGCTGCCCCTCTAGTTTCGGTCAAATCTTTACTCCCTGTCACTCTGGATTGACTCTACTTGGTGGCAAGGTTCATTGCTCAGTTTACCCTTGTGCCCTTCAGCCCCTGGCCCAGGACTTCTGTTTGATAGCCCATCAGTGAGGGCTTCAAAAACCTTCTAAAGAAGGAAGAACCAGCTTTCCCTTCTCGTCTGTAGATTAACCTCCCTCTCCTAGGTCGTGGCTCTGGAGGCAATGTGATGAGCAGCATTTTGGTAGGAAAAGTGCCAGGGAGGTTTGCTGAGTGTGCATTGGCCTGCTTGGCTAAGCGGCCCTTCCCAGGCAGACCCACAGCTGAGGGAGATCTTGACATAGGCACCCAGGCGTTCTTCTCTAAGTCACACTCGACTGGTCCTTCCAGGGGCAGGACCTCGTACGTTAGCACCTGGCCCAGGGTCAGCAAGTATGCGTGAGTGGCCCACACTACTCTGGGTCCCCGGGACAAAACCACAGCCCCACAGGCACCGAGGGCAAGTCCTGGAAGGTAACCGGCCCTGCTAAGTGTTTCTGAGATCCCTGTGGGTTTCAAACACGATTTAGAGAAGCTCACCCGAGAAGCTGGCAAAGACCCGGCAGAACTGCGAGAACCTGTTGCGGTGGAGCCACTGCTGGGCGTCCTGGATGGAGGCTGACGGCAGCAGGTGCTGCGGGCAGAGAGGAGAGGCCTTGGAATGCGCGCTCGGGCTCTGCCCAGGGACAGGCAGCCAGGCAGCCCGGCCACAGACACTTACGTCACTGCCCACGGGCAGGGCCTCCACCGGGTGGGTCGGAGAGGTGTTGCTGCAAAGGAAGAGAAGAGGCGATGAGGGGCGAGGATGCTTTCCGGGACGCAGTAAAGGCCTCCTCACCCGCCTGCTGCTTTCACTTCCCCTCAGCTACCGGACTTGTTTTAAACAAAGCGGGTCCTCGAGAATTTCCCGAGTCAGAGAAATGTCGGCAGGAGCCATGCTCAAGCCCTCGAAATCCCTAATCAGCCCTTTGGGTGGACGAGAAATTCAGATGGGCTACATCCTCCTGGCTCGTGACCACCCCTCCACCCCGAGCATCAGCCTGAGGGAAGGGCAGGCTGACCAAGTAGACTGGGCAGCTCCTCACAGTGACTCGGGGCCTGGACGGCGGCAGCCAAAGAAAGGTCAAACCAACACTCTTCTCTGGGGTGACAGGAGAGGGCAGAGGAATCCCCTGGGGGATTATTCTGCAGGGAATAAGCACCCACAGTTGGGCATCCACCCACGAGAAAAACATTCTGCTGGTTTTTCCCTAAAGGGAGGCACACCAGCCCTCCCTCGGGCTCAGTCATCAGGAGGGCACAGACCCGACACCTGGGCCTTTAAGACAAAGATACTTTTAAAAATGACCCTCCCAGACGGCCGGCGATGTACATGAATGTACTTAAGTGTCTAACGATACACTTGAAAATGGTAAAATGGTAGACTTTACATTATGTATATTTTACCACGATAACAATTAAAAAAAAACACCTCCGCAGGGATGATCCCTAGCCGGTCATCAGCAGTAACAGTGGCTGTACTTCATCGAGTGTCTTCAGGGCGCCCGGCATGCTGCACACGTTCCCCCGACCCGGCATGGAATTCCCATTCCCTTGGTAGCAGGGAAACTGAGGCTGAGGGAGGTTAAGGAACGTACCCCCAGAAAGGCGTAGATTTAAGCTAGCACTGCCTGAATCTAAATATGACACCTTTTCTACGTCTTCCCCCCTCAGGGAGGACTCTCCTCAGCTTATAGAATCAAGTTCCTGGACATTCTTGCTTTCCCATTGGTAAAGTTCTCTGTCTGCCAGGCACAGGCTTTGAGGAACCCACAGGTTCTGTGCCCACCTGTTAAACCCGCCTGGTGTTCTCCCTGCGTTACCCCCCGCCCCCACGAACAGCACACACAGAGCCGTCACCGTGATGCCCTGTGCCACGCAGCCTGGGACAGGTCGGCCAGCTGCCCGCCACCCCTGCACTCCTGTCACCTTGAAGTCCACATGGCCTGTGCCTCTGCAGAGTCGGCGGCCAGCAGTGAGGCCACTTCTGTGTTACAGGCCCTGAAACCAGGGCAGGGAGGATCCTGAGCTGACCCACGCCACCCAGTGAACGTGCACAAGGGCCACAGAAAGAACCAAGAAGGCCCCTCGCAGCCACTGCAGCCATCCAGACAGCCACCTCCTGAGGCCTCACCTGTCTAGGAGGCCATTCTGCCCCGGAGAGCGCCTGGAAGGCCATCTCAGGAGACTGACTTAACGCACACGCAGGCCAGCCCTAATTTTACTGGGGGGAGGAGGAAGGGTGGGTTCTGGGCTGCTGCACCACCAGACAGGGTTTATAAAAGTGTGTCCAAGCACAAAAGCTGTGCAAATACTACAAACAGTTGTGAATGCAACACCAGTTAGCTATCCTGAAACCCAAATCAATGCCAGCCTACAAAAGGAAGGGAGCCACAGAGAGGAAGGTCAAGAAAGAAACCTATACCCATCACTACTCCAGGGACACCAAAGGGAGAAAGGTCAGACGTACCCTTCGCCAAGACCAAAGCTGCTTGGAGAGCCATTGTAGCTTGGGGATGGGGCGTTGTTCACCTGGTAGGCCATGTCAGGCCACGGAGAGCACTGTGGGAAGAGAGCACAGGGCAGCAGTGACTTGAGGGCAGTAGTCCTCAGGAGGAACTGGGTCTGCAGAGGTGCTGACCCCGGCTCCTCTTCCTCCCAAGCAAGCATCCATCAAAGCCGGCGCATGAAACCACCAATTCTTCAACACCCAACCCGCATTCACCCGGTGCCCACATGAGCCAAGGAGGGTGGGTTACTAGGGCCATAACCAAAGAAATCAAATATGGCAGAGAAGAGACCTAAAATTCAGTAAGTCATCCCTGGAGCAAGAAAAGCACAGGACATGTGCCTCTGAACTTCCTAGCAGTCAAATCAAAGAGGGGAACATCATCGGTCACATGATTCCTGGGTCCACAAGAAAAGAGAGATAACAAAACAGGCCAGGTGCCCAGGTTTTCCAGGTGCAGACAGATGTGTGTAAATGCATGAAACACGGAGCAGTGGATCACAGACAACTCCCAAACAAGACATCATCAGTAAAGTTCAATATTAAAACCTGCACTATTTGAAAATAGAATCTGCCGCCGGGCCTCAGACGACAGGAGGCACTTTCCCAATCTCCCAGCGCAGCCTCTCATCAACACACTTCTGTGTGTATTCACTACACTTGAGGCATCCTGCTAGGAGCTAGGCAAGACACAGAAACACGAAAGATGTGAACCCTGAACTCAAGGAACTTCTTGTGCAGAAGCCAGAAATGAACACCTGTGCGAGTCTCCCAAGGAAAGCAAAGACAGACAAGTTCGGCCTGTTTGGGGAAGCCAGTGGACAAAGACTTCATTTCTTCCCTTCTCTGCGATGACATCTCTTTGGAGAGGGCCAATTTGAAGCATTCCTGAAGATTTACTATTGCTCCCTGAACCACAGGCTGGTAAATCTTTAACTCTGTTGTGAGCGTGGGCTGGAATTGGTTGGTGCTAAATCCGAGAGCCCGAGGAGGAAGCGGATGAGCTGATACAAGGGGAGCCGGCACCGCACAAGGTCACGGGCCAGGTGGGGATTCGACCAAGCACACCACACTGTGACAAGGGTGGATGTGGCCTGAAGTACACCAAGACTTCTCCTCTACCGGGGAAGTCAGGGGAGAGTCAGCACGGAGAGGCTGAGGCTCAGTGGGAAAGGAAAGGCATCAGTGGGCGGAGGACGGGGGAGCAGAGGGCGCCCTGGGCAGCATCACCAGTGCAGGCACGGACGAGGCGTGGGAAGAACTACCTGGTCTGAGCTCTCATCCATACAGCACAGTCCTGGCCCTGCTCTGCTGCTGAGGGGCCGGCAGGGCTCTTCGTGCACCGGGCTCTCTGCCCACTGTTACCCTCAATCAGATAAAGCACCTGGACACATCTGTCTGCACTGCAAAATGAGCTTCCACAGTCTTGCTGCCAATACTCTCAAACATATGGCTTATCACACACACAGCTCGTCAGCCAGGAGGGAGCCACTGTTGCCTTAAACGCTCTGTCCCCGGGCCTTAAGCATCTGTGCACGGCTTTCTGAGTAAGTCAGATTATTCAATGAATAATACAACACCGATCAGCTGGCCAGATAGCAGAACACAGTGGAGAACAGGTGTTAAAAATAAAACAACAAGGCTCAGTAAAAGAGGCAACGCCAGCAGCGACCCGTGACAAGAGGAAGGGAGTCTGAAAGCGGGTATCGCAGAAGCACCCTGGACAGGAGGATGGGTGGAGCAGGCTGTGTGGGTGTCAGCGTCAGGAAATGCATCCAATACCTATCCAAACAGCAGGCACTTACCCCCTCTGACCCAGCAATCCACGCCGAGAAGGAAGGCCTGCAGATATTCTTACACACGCAGAACTTTCCACAAGCCAGGTTATTCACTGCACCCTGTCTGCCATGGCAAGAGCCCGGAAACAACCAAATGTCCACCAACAGCCCATCCACACAACAAAGGCTACGCAGCCAGGTAGGAAAAACAGGAATAGGAAACTCTTCATGAACAGATAGGGAACAAACTCCAAGATATGCCATGAAATAAAGCAAGTTGTAGAATAGTACGTCTGTGTACACTGTTGGTGTAAAAACGTGGCCATGGGGCAAATGACTATGAATTGGCTTCATCTGCAGAGAAAGCTGGGCCAGATACATAAGGAACCAGAGACACCAGGTACCCTGAGGAGAGAAACCGCGAGGCTAGAACAGTGTTGGGAGGGATATTTTCTGACGTACACGCTCTTATATCTTTAGAATTTGGGGCCACACGAATATATTACCTATTCAAAAAAAATTAAAATAACCTAATTTTGAAAAGTGTAAATGGCAGCAGAGTTAGAAGCTATTTCTGAAACACCTTTCCGGACACTGGGCCTTATCAGGTGAACACAGCTCCAGACCCGGGAACACACCACAATGTAATGGGCACTCTCAAAAGAAGCATTCACCCAAGATGGGCAATTTTCCAAGAATCTAAACCGACAGCGCCATCGCCCGCCCCTGGCAGAAGGCCCTGGGAGGCCGTGTCCCGGCACCCGGCTGGCGCACCTCTGCGAGGATGGTGGTTTCATAGGATGGCTGGTACTTCTCCTTCTCTTGCGCGGTTCTTTTCTCCATCTTCTCCCGGTCGGTCTTCTGTTTCCGGTCAGCTCCCTTTGGCTGCAAGTGCAGAGCACAGGGGTCCAATTAGTTCAAAGTGGGCAGAGGTGGCAATCAGAGGAAGATCCAGGGCTGAGCAGTGGCCCCCAAGGCCTGCACCATCCCCACCTCACCCCAATCAGGACCTCACGGACAGGAAAGCATCCCTCTCACCTCCCAGGTATCAAACACATGGTCCTCCTGCCTGGAACCCCTCCCCATCCTGAGGGAACTAAGAGACTGCTACAGGGTCCTGCCACGCAGCTGCTCATGGGAAAAGGCTTCAAAAGATCTGTACTGGTGGCCACTTACTGAGGGAAAGGAACCCTCAGGAGCCACAACAAATCCCAGTGCGTTCCTTGGGTTACCCGTGGAGAGTGAAAGGAAGAGGAAGAACCAGGGGCTGCTGGTCGGGGTTTGGTCCATGCTTGTAGTCTGTGAAATCCTGGGCACGGTGTGAAAGCCTCCTGGGGCTCCTACCACGCTCCCAGCTTACCCTCCACACACACGGTAACACTTCCGCCCTGACGCAGCGTGTCCCGTGCACCCAGCCACCCTGAGGAACTGGTAGAAAGTGTCGGGCCTCACAGGTACTATTGTTTCCCCCATGTATAGATTAGGAAACTAAGGCTCAAGTGATTCAGCAAGACTGGAGAGGAACCAAGTGCCAACCAGGTCAAGAATCCAAGTCAGAGTGTCCAGGTGTGCGCCAACCCCCAGGCCAGCCCCAGCAGGCCCGGCTGATGGGGACCTTCCTGACATCACTGGGACCATCACCTCCAAGGAGTTCACAGCTTGGGTGGCGAGTTCAGACATCAAGACTCTGAGCAGCCCCAGAACTGAGCAGTTTTACTGTGTACACAGCAGACCACACATGGTGGGCAGTCAGTGAAAGAAACTCCTTCTCAAGGTCAATGGCACCTTTGGGGATTTGCACCCTGAAGTGCCTTCCTCAGGCTACAGCTTTTGACTCCCAGCTCAAGGGATTTTAGGACACAGCCCTTGGGGTGATGCCCACACTGGATGGAGGCAGGTTTGCTGGAGGTCATACGGGGACATGAATGACAGATCCAGTGTCCAGGGGGAGAGCCAGGCATGCAGCAGCCATACCCCGGTCATCTGGCCTCCCTGCTCCACCTCCGTTCTCCTGTCCCAGAAAGGAGACCCTTCTTCCCTACCAGAAGCCACGGGGCAAGGTGGCATTACTGCCAGACCATGGCTGAGCCTGCTGATGGAGAACAGCACTCAGCCCCGATGAGGCCTGCGGGGAGCCAGCTGGTCAGAGAGGAGCCCCGCCTTTCCTTTCAGAGGCCATGACATCACCACAGAGCCCCAGGCACGGCTCCAAGAAGCCGGGAGCTTCCCAGTGACTGGGGTGACCAGGGACGGGGGAAGGATGGACAGTTTGGCTGGACTCCGCCTGGCACTTGTGCACACCTGTTTGAACTGCTTCTGTGAATGGGGTGGGTGGGTGGGGTGGCCACACCTGCTCAGTACTCTTGAGGAGCCAGTTTCGGGTGATAGGGACTCCTCTCCCCTGCAAGAGATGCAGAGGCCTTCCTTGGTCACTCAGACAAGGCAGCTTCCGGCCCAATTCCCCCAATAACAGCTGGTATATGGTCAAGGAATCTGGTGGGCAGAGCCCTCAGCTTCCGCCTCAAGGTATGGAAAGGGGAGTTAGCGGGGGCCATGGGAAGAACTGGGCACTCCAAGGGCACAGAGACATTCCTCTCTCCTCCTACTGCCCAGCAAGGCATCTGACCCCCAGGGCACAGACTTCAAGAGCAGCAAAATTACACTGGATACCACTAGACGAGGCAGTGAACCACTAGTAAGGGTGGAAGACAGCTAGTGGGACCATGGATGTGGTCTGTACATGGCAGCGAGAGAGGCGTGACTGACGGACAGGCAAAGACCAGCAGCGCAGTTGTGGAGATGTCCACGGTGAACCAGAAGCACGAGATCCCAGAGTGGGCAGTGAGAGCAGAGGCTCCAGCACCCACTGCACCCGCGGACGTGGTCAGCAGACTGATGCTCCCCAAAGACAGCCGTGTCCTAATTCACAGAACCCGTGAGGACGTCACCTTACATGGCAAAAGGGGTAAGGCTGCAGATGGAATTAAGATTGCTAATAGTGTGAGATTAAATAGGAAGATTATCTTGGATCATCCCCGTGGGCCCAATGCAATCAGGGCCCTTAAAAGTGGAAGCGTGGGGAGAAGAGGCCAGAGTGACGCAACGTGAAGACTCAGCCTGCTCTCCCTGGCTCTGAAGAGGGAGGGAGGGACCATGAGCCAAGGAATGCGGAGGCCTCTAGAAGCTGGCAAAGGCCAGGAAAGATTCTCCCTGGGGCCTCCAGAAAAGAACTCAGCCCTCCTGACACTTTTGGCTTTAGATTAGTGAGACCTATTTCAGACTTCTGACCTCCAGCATTGAAAGATAATACATGTGTGTAGTTTTAAGCCACTAAACTTGCAGTAATTTGTTACAGCAGGAATAGGAAACAAATATAGTGGAGAAACGCAACTTCCTTTGGAGGCCGATTTCAAGGCTTCATCATCCCAAAGCAGGAGCTTCTGAAAGTGCTACTGCTCTGGCAGGAAAGACAAACTCATGCTCCCACCACCACCTCTCCCTCACCGCCGGGGCGGCAGCACTAACTGACCAGGCGTCCCACACCACAGAGCCCGGCCAAGGCCCCGGGCAGGGCCTCGGGACCCTCTGCCCACAGCCCTCAGGCAGCCAGATGCTAGCACTGCGGGTGACCCCGGCAGCCGGCTGTGCGGTCTCCTAAGTGAGGACACCATCGGCTCTCGCATTACTTCTCCCACAGCTGCTATGATTGGCGTGTTCCCCAAATCACTGCCGAGTGCTCACTGTACACCATGCTCTGCAGAAGACACTAGAGAGGTAAATGGCACAGTCCCTGTCTTCAGAGGCTTCCAGTCTAGTTGGGAAACAGGACAGATCACCACTCGGCTGCCAGGTTTATAGTTCTACCTGTGGGTATTTATTTCCGCATCCCTCCCAAGCTCAGGAAGATCAACACTGACCCAGCTTTCTCTCAAACGAGCCCCTTTCTCAAGTGACTCACTCTTGGATCTCCAGGCCCAGCATATGGAATTTTTTCAGTAAGTTCCAAGGTCACCTGACTGCGAAAGAAGGGGAGGACGGGGAAGGCACTGGGGCTGGCTACTCAGGGCAATTCCTGCTGGGGAGGTGGGCGCACTCCCTCTCCACAGGCCCCTGCTGGAGTCTCCCAGGCCAACGGGCAGGTCCAGCCTGCCGAGGACAGGGCCTGTAGTCCTGCTAGGGCACAGGCCCGCCCACCGTGAATGACGCAGGCTCTGCTGCAACCTCCATCTCCCCAGGGCCACATGGCACCCTGAGCTCCATCGCTGGCTACCATCTTTAGGAAATCAGTCCAGATAGATGAGATAAAAAACAATGATAGGTGATTGCAAGGGGTGAGGCAAGAAAGGAAAAGAGAGGAGGTACCTCCAAAAATGTTTTTCTCCCAACAGGAGGTCACTGCAGAAGGAAGAATGGCCTCAGACCCTAAATACGAACATCTGTGGCTAGTGGGTCTCCTGACTTTATTTTTAAGGAGAATCTAATGGGCAACTCTACAATCTGTAGCCAACCACAAAAACAAAAATCTAAAAATGTGCAAATCCAATATTTCTCATAAAGCAAAGCTGAGCACTGACATCGATGATGAGGAAGGCTGAGGAGGTGCCCTGTGCGAAAGGATGCACATCCTCGGGTGTGCAGCTCATGTGCATCAGGAGTCCAGGCAGAAGCCCAGCTAAAGGCACCCCGTGCTCCTTGCTGGGCCTCCGGGCGGAACGGCAAGAGTCAACGGTTGGGCGTCTCTGTTGAGTGCAGGGTGAGCACAGGCGGGACCCATGGCACATGTGACAGCAGGAGGAGTGTGGCGGGCCGTCCTACCTTGAACACCTTGATCTGGCAGCTGGCCGAGTGCAAGTGTTCCGTGTACTCCCCATTCTCGTTCTGCTTAAATGTATCAATCTGTACTCGAAAAGGCACGCCCTTCTCGCCCCCGTGCTTCCTCGGGGTGAACTCAGTGCTGATACAGTGCACCTGGAAGGGAAACGTGAGGCAGGTAGCAAAAGGAGGTGAGCGGGCTCCGGACTCCCCAAGGGCTCCTCTCCAAGTGGAAGCTTCCATCCTGCATGGTCAGGTGCAGACCTGCCTCAACCTCCCTGCTCCCCGACGCTGTCCACTCAGGCCTCCCTGTGCCCCGTCCACACAGAACACGCCCTCCCACCTTTGTCCCTTGATCTCGGAGACCCTGCCTGGCCAGCTAAGTCTCACCACTGCTGCAGGCCCACTGACCCCAGAGCCCCATCCTCGCTCCTCACCCAGACCTCTCCCTTGGCAAACCCCACAGACTGCAGAGTGGGGACCACAGGTCTGTCACTAATAGCCTGGTGTCCAGATTACTCAGGCCAGGCTAGAAGCTGGAACCATTTCTGCGTTTCTGGTAAGTACCTGCCACATAGAAGGCACTCAATATGTATTTATTGTTATAATACTGTAATAATACGAAGTATATTAGTGTAATAATACAACATTAATACTGTAATAATAATTTTAAAATACAATAATAATATTGTAATTATGGGAAAAAAACAAAGATCGCTAACTTTTACTGGGCAATTTCTATGGACCAGGCACTGCGTTAACAGCTTTATATTCATTATCTGATTTGCAAGACAGGTGGGAAAATGAAGAGGCTCAAAAAGGGACATGTAGTAAGTGGGAGAGCTGGTGCTGAGCCCAGACACAGCGCCCCCGCCATGCCTCCAGCCAACTCGATCTTCCATGGTGTTTAACACAAGGCTGGATCCACACCAGGTGCTTGATAATTAAATAATTAATAATGGAAACTATTATGGAAAAAATTTTTACTTCCAATTCTTTATGCTAGGACATACTTATTTTGTAAAAATCTTACATAATGATAAGCAAAATCCACACATGACTCTAAAACATTCCAAGCCCTTTTCTTTTCCCCACCCTAGTGACCAACTGGCTCTGTGACTCTGAGCAACACTCGTACACCATCTCCCCTTCAGTTTCCTTCCCTGCAACAGAGAACAGGAGCCCATCAGGGCCCTGCAGATGGACTGGTGTGGAGGAACTACAAAATGGACCCCAGAGCTCTGGCTTCCCCCCAGAGGGCAACCTCACTTGCTCACCTGAATGAACGCAGAGGCTCTCTTCGAAGGGTCCCACAAAAACTCGACGGCGTTCAGCTGGGTCGGGCTGGCCCTGGGGTCCAAGATACCAACAGACAGTGGAATATCTGCACACACACACACACACACAAAAGTGCAATTGTCAGCCACTCCCAGATATTTAGGGAAGGACTCTTATTATAGGTTCAAATTCCTTAACCACAATTTGAAATGCCAGAAGTTCTGAAAACTAAGTTTTGAATAACTCACTTGGCAGAAAGCCTGACTTGAATTGCCATGAAGCTATTTAGAGTCTTTACCTCATTTTGTGTGAACAGTCATTTCATTTTGCTGCAGAAATATTATTGTGCTTGATTGCCTGTGATTACCCAAAGCCATAGGTCTATGCACCCTGCTGTCATTCTAACTTCTGAATTCTAAAACCCATCTGGCCCAAGGGTTGTAGATAAAAGACTGTGGACCACTGCCTGAGCCCCCCAAATTCCATTTCTGTTGCCCATCTCTGTGATGCCCATCCTTCCTTTCATCACTTATCAAAACACTTTAAGACAGGATCCTCTGCAAAGCCTTCCCTGCAACTCCCTGACAGCTGGTCTCTGAACTCCACCGGCCTATCTTTTCACCGAAAGGGGACTTCCCTGAGGGCAGGCCCGATGGCACGTTCACCTCTGCCAGCTCCCACAGGGTTTTACACAGACAGGAGTGTGCTAAAATGCCCTGGATAGGCATGGGTCCAGACGGCGTCCAGGAAGAACCCCAACTGGCTGGAGCACCTTAGGCCTCTCCTGTCCCAGGAGACTCACCGATGTCCAGGATGCGATCTCCAGGCCGGCTCCACCGCCAGCCCTCCAGCTGCTGGTGCTCCGTGTACTGCAGCCGGCGGTCGTGGAAAACCACGCGGATGATGCTCTGGGGAGGGGAGGCCAGCAGGGGACAGCCGAGTGTGGGGACCAAGAGGGACCCAAGAAGAACCCACCGTGGACCTTCCCAGAGCCAGAGCAAACCTCCTGCCCCTCAAGGCTCCTCCTCTTAAGCCTTCATTCCCAGCTCTTGAGCGCCACGTGCTTATCCCTCCTCAGAACCCCAATAACACTAACAACAGTAAGAATAATGACAAGTACCCTGTTTTCCAGAATTACTAAGTGCTTTGCATACACGGCTAATCTATAAACCTTTTCATGCAGATGAGCAAACTGAAGCTCAGGAAAGTTCAGTAAGCAGTAAAGCCAGGCTCAATCCTGAGTCTGTCCAACCCAGAGCCCGTCCAGCAGCCACTCGGGCTCCCAACGCTGCCGGCCTGTCCTGGTTCCCTTAGACAACACGCTCCAGGGAACAGGAAACCCCTCTCCCTCTGGAGCTTTCCCCAAACCTCCCTGCCACTCCCGACACCCCATGGCAAGCCCAGGTGCTCAGACCCCAACCAACCCCCCTGGAGGGAGAGCTGCTTGCAGCCCTACCTTGACGTATTTTGTGTTCAGATCTTGAAAGTCTCCCAGCTTCCGATTCTCCAGCAGTCGGATTTCATAAGATTGACCTGGAGGGGGGTTAATCGTAAATTTCCATTTCTGAGTGTTTTCAAATTTAGGGCTTACCCAGCTAGAGGTCTTCTCAACCCCCCCAGTGCCCAACTAGGCCTCACCGCCCTGAGGAGCAAAGTGGAGAAAAAGTCCACAGCCAGCTCATTGTTCTCTGGACTGGACACCGGGGTTTGTCCACCCAGCCTGGTTGGGCCTGGGGCACCCCAGGTAAGGCACCATATGACCCCTCAAGAGAAGCACCTCTATAGTTTTCAAGAAACAGAATTCAATATAGTTAACATTAAATTTATGCAACATAACTTCCTCTTTCTTTATAAAGAGTGCCCCCATCACTCGGATGGAGAACATAGCTACTTAAATCCACATTCGAGTAAATAACTGACCATACCTTTGCAGAGAGTAGGTTTAAAGGAACGAATAAAAGCCTGTTAAACATTGTCTCTAATTGCAGAATGAAAAGCATTTTCCCAAGTTAAAAGAATTTCACGTATTTGAAAGGGTGTGGGGATTCTGTGTGGTGACATATAACCAGCACGAGCCGGTTAAAGAATATAAATGGAGAAAAGATCCATCCGTAATAACCAGAAAAAACTTAAAAGTGTTTGAATAACCTGAAGAAAACTACACGCATTTTATTGGAAGATAAAATATGGTTTGAATAAATAGGATACACCATGTTCCTAGATGGGAAGACCATGTATCAAATGATGTCAATTTTTCCCAAATTAACACAACTCTAAAACACCCTAGCATATATCACAACTTAAAAAACGATGTTTTAGAGCTGGCCCAGTGGCTCAGCAGTTAAGTTCACGCACTTTGCTTCGGCGGCCTGGAGTTTGCAGGTTCGGATCCCAGGCGCGGACAGACGCACCACTTGTCAGGCCATGCTGTGGCGGCGTCCCATATAAAGTGGAGGAAGATGGGCATGGATGTTAGCCCAGGGCCAGTCTTCCTCAGCATCAAGAGGAGGATTGGCGTGGATATTTGTTGAAGGCTGATCTTTCTCACACACACAAAAAGGATGTTTTACAAATAAGAGAGAATAAATAATTTAATAATTGGTTAATCTGATTAGGTATCTAAAAAATTCTTTATTTTTAAATAATGATAGACTCACAAGAAGTTACAAAATTGTACAGAAAGGTCCTGAGGACCCGTCCCCCAGCTTCCCCCAGGGGTAGCACCTTAGGTAACTGTGGGACATGATCACAATCAGGACGCTGACCGTGGCACAGCACCATTAACTCAGCTGCATGCTTATTGGGTTTCCTGGGGTTTGCAGGCTCTCTCTCTCTCTCTCTCTCTCTCTCTCTTTTTCGTATGTGTTTGTGTGTACAGATCTATGAAATTTTATCACAAGAAGAGATTAGCCATTTCTTTCAAAGTGCAGACCCTCACCTCACAGCAAATATCAAAACAAGTTACCAATGGATGAAAAAGTCAATTTCTTAAGGTTTTATGTTAACAAGAATCACTGCTTATCAGACACGTAATAGAAAAAAAGACTTTCTGAAACTAAAATCAGTGGCGGGGGAGGAATCTGACTTTATTAAAATCTCTCTCTCTCTGAAACTTAAATGCAAAACAACAAACTAGGAACAGCAAAACCCAGTGGCTAACGTCTTAAAATAGCTAAAAGGTGAATGATTAGAAAAATACTAAGATACACAGCAGTGGGTTGAATGGTGGCCCCTCAAAAGATATATCCATATCTGAATCTCCAGAACCTGTGAATGTGACCTTATATTTGGAAAAAGAGTCTTTGCAAATGCAATCAAGTTAAGGATACTGAGATGAGGAGATCATCCTGCACTATCTGGGAGGTCCCTAAATCCAATGACAAGTGTCCATATAAGAGACACACAGGGGGGCCGGCCCCATGGCTTAGTAGTTAAGTGCGTGCGCTCGGCTACTGGTGGCCCGGGTTCGGATCCCGGGCGCGCACCGACACATTGCTTCTCAGGCCATGCTGAGGCCGCGTCCCACATACAGCAACTAGAAGGATGTGCAACTATGACATACAACTATCCACTGGGGCTTTGGGGAAAAAAAAAAAAAAGGAGGAGGATTGGCAATACATGTTAGCTCAGAGCTAGTCTTCCTCAGCAAAAAGAGGAGGATTAGCATGGATGTTAGCTCAGGGCTGATCTTCCTCACAAAAAAAAAAAAAAAGAGAGAGACACAGAGGAGACAGAAGAGGAAGCATGGGAGCAGAGATTGGAGTGACACAGCCACACGCCAAGGAACGCCTGCAGCCACTACAAGCTGGAAGAGGCAAAGGATGGAGTCTCCCCTAAGCCCCCAGGGGAACATGGCCCCACTGGGTTTCTGACTTCTAGCCTCTGGAACTGTGAGAGAATCAACTTCTGTTGTTTTTGTTTTAAGCCAACACGTTTGGAGTAATTTGTTAAAGCAGCCACAGGAAACTAATGTACTCCTCCTCCAGTGAGTAATAGAATGAGCAAAGAATATGAAATTAAATCATTCATTCCAAATATTTGCTGAGCAACAATTATTGCCAAATACTGTGCGAATCCTAGGGACATGGAAAACAAAACAGACACAGTGCGCGTGTCACAGAGCTCATCACCACGGCTCCCACAGGCCTGGAAATGATGCTGGCCGAGCACAGAAATACTCCCTCAGCAAGCCTCCCTTCTCAGAAGCTTTTACCAGCCGATCGCACAGGACCAGCGAACACTTAATGAGCACAGCAAGCCCCAGCGCTGCTCAGGACAGTGTGCTGGGCGCCCTTCCCATCAGAGGGAAGAGGCGCAGACCCCAAACTCTTGTCCTGCCAACTTGCCAGTTCAGAAGACGCAACTCACAGAACGGTCTTGCTGACCTCATCAACGCTTCTAACTTTCTGAAACAGCCAGATTTTTGACATACATTTCCGGGCTCCTGAGCCAACACTCCCTTGACAGCAACATAAAATGGAGCCTCACACGCCCTAACTGGTTTTTCCAGTGTCCTCGCCTCTTCCGAGGAAGAATGTAGCCAGCTCTGGCATGAGGTCCAACACCCTAATGGTCATTACCGTCGGTTTACCAGTGCCCCCAGGCCCAATTAACACTGACCCCAGGCTCTGCAGGGCAACTTCGGCTCATGCCCAACTGAGGCACATCCTGCCCCATACAGAGCACTTTCCGAGCCTGAACACAAGCGGCAGCAACTTAGAGATCAGAGCTATTAAGTGGGCCAGGACCATGGCCTCCTCCGCCTGCAGCAGACACCTGACCCATGTGCTTCCCCACTGAATCTGGAATCTCCCTTCCACGTCCCTTCCTCCTACACACACACACAGACACACACACACACACACACACACACTCTAGAGCCCCTCCCAGACACACTGCACCTCCCTTACTCAGGACTCAGCTGGACGTTCAGTCTCCCTCCCCTTGCCTGCCTCAATGCCAATGCACTGGGGCCAAACTGACCTCCCCAAGCTCGGCTCTCACACAGCACACCACCATCCAGAAGGCCATCCTCCGTGGTCACACACTGGCTAATAAGTGAGATCATGAAAGCTGAACTGACCTGGGACACACGGGCATTCCTCTGCTTGGACAGCATCATTTCAGGGCATGGGTGGGAGCCATGGACAGCGGGCTCTGTGAAGGCACAGGCTGTATCTGCTTTGCTCACCGCTGTACTGTTTGACACACAGTAGGTACTCAGCAAATGCTTAAACATGATTTCATATTCTTTGCAATGCTATTCTGTGCTAGAACTACAGGGTTTATAAGACACACTTCTGCTCTCAAAGGGTTAGCAATCTTCTGGGGTATATCAAACAGCACAGGAAAAGCACTAATGTAAGGCAGAAGTTGAAAAATCCCTCTAAGAGACAATAGAGATCCAAAGACAGCCACTACTCAGCCAGCATGGGGAGGAGGAGGGTGAGAAACCGTTTGAACAAGGAGATGACATGTGCGATGGACTTTGAAGAGTGGGCAGGATTTCTATAGCTGAGGGGAAGAATGAGTAAGAAAGTAACCCCAAGCCAAACTGCAGCAAGGAGGTGGGAAGGGAGAGGTGTGCCTCGAGGGAACAATAAGGAGCAGCTTTCCCTCACCGGGGCTTACCCCATGGCGCTTACCCCATGGCAACGTCTGCTCAGCTGTTCAGTCACTTGAATCTCAGAACAAGTCAATGGGGCAGTTGAGGATTATGAGCCCCACTGACAGAACGAAGCAGAGGCTCCAAGAGGTTACCTGACTTGGGCAAGCTCAAACAGCTAGTAAGTGGCAGAGCCAGGAGCAGAAACTAAATCTGTTTCCAGCACCTACCACATTCTTTGCTGCATCCTACGGGTGGGTGTCATTTGCTGGAGAGAGGACATCTGTAGTTCTACATAATTCTCTCTCTACTTCTCCTTGCTGGAAGGCATCCAATTCCATTTTATATACTGATTAAAGTTTGCCTACAGCATCTTATGGCATATACAGCACCCCAACCATCCCCATCCCAAGTTAAATGGTTTTTTTCCTTCCTTCTTCCCGTTAAGACTAGCAATAAAGGTGATTCCTAGAATGACCAATTCAATCGCCAGGCAACCTTGGATAAAGCATGTTGACTCCATTTCCTTGTCTGTAAAATTCTGTTTTCTACATTCTAAACAATGATTTGGGAGGAAAAACAAATCACTATAGAAAATGATAGTAAAGCCTGTTCCAATTTCAGAATTGTGAAATGTGTAAAAAGAAAAAAAAAAAAAGCTGGTCTTAGAATCAAGGAAATAGGGTAATAAATAACTATCATTTGGCTGTCATTCAGCTATGTGTTGGGACATTGTTAAGGCCCTTACATGCATTATTTCATTTAGTCCTTTCAACAATCCATGAGGAGAATCCATTATTGCCCCCATTTTATAGATGAGGAAATTAAGATCCAGGGAGGTTAAGCATCTTATTGAAGATCGAACACAGGTCTCTCCGACTCCAAAGACTGACACTCAGCCAAACTACTCTGCAGTGTCGAGTTGCTT